ACCACTTTTAATTATAAAATTAAACATAAATTATTTTTCAATATGAATTAATTACTAGACAAAAAAATACAAATTTATTATGTCGTCAAAAACTAGATTTAGTGTTGCTTTATATCACATTCAATAATGTAATAAGAAAAAATACATTTTTAATATTTTTTTTTAAAAAAAAAATAGCATAAATAAAAAGGAAAAATAAGGCCGTATTATAATCGAATATAAGAAATTTGATATTTTATGTATTTATCTTCTTATCCTTAAGACTTATGTTAGACTAGTAAAAGAAATGTATATTTGCATAAGCAAACGAGGTTCACTGTACAACACAATTTTACCTCCCACATTCTCAATACAACCGCCTCCATTTTTCTTTCTCTCTATTCTTGTTCATTCCATATAATGATAATTCATCTAATATCAGGAAGATTCTTATTCGGGTTAAATCGGTTCTTGTTGCTATTTTCGTAAAAACAATTTTGCAGAGAAAAGCTTGAGAGGAATCAACAACGGTTGCGATGGCTGAGAGCGGTTCTTCCGTGGCCGCCCAGGAGCAGAGCAAGCCGCCAACAGCCACAAAAACGACGCCGTTTGCAGCTCCAGCGACACTGCTTACCCGTCTGAGTTCGTGTGTATGCCGATGGGATTCTATTTCGGCGATGCTCGATCCTTCGAAATAGGCCAAGAAACTGGACGGATTTTGTAGTTTTATTTGTTCTGTTATTAATCTGTTCTGGGTTTATGTTATTTTAGGTTTTTTTCCCTGTTTTGGTTATGGGTTGGGGTTACTATTATGTTTCATGGTCGCAAGGTGCTTGATTTTATGTCTGTGTGGTTCTAATTATGTTTTTGAATGAATTACGAGTAAAGGCTCGGAAACTTTTTTCCCCCAATTTGTTCTACTGAAATCGTTCATTAGATGTTATCAATATGTTTTGTAGTTCTGTAGTGGGAGTTCTCAAAGACTATGTTCTTACTTCTATCTGTTTTCAGTTGTTGAGTTGTTTTTTCCATCTTTTTGTGTAATGATCTGCTCGATTTTGTAAATGTTTTCTTTTGTGAATCAATAGAATCTGAATCTGATGCATGTTGCATTATTTCTGGTTAAAATTAATGCCATTAACAAGAGTCATAATTTATAGTGTGGTGACGCCTTGTAAATTTGTAGGTTCCCGAATACATACTTTCTCGTTGGGTGCTGTAGTGATGAGGTCACACACAAGTATAAGGGAAAGACAGTTATGACCGAATCCGAGCGCTATGAATCCCTTCGTCATTGCAAGTTTGTTTCCTTTATCCCATTTTCTTATTTTTTCTGATTTTGCTGCCTCTGTAAGATTTGTAAGATTTGTACAGGACTATTTTTCTGTACTTTTTGTATCTGGATGAGATTGGTCAGTATGAGGCCAACTATTCAGCATTCCA